TTCGACTGTACATACTGCCTCTCCTCTGTTCCTGTTGTGCTGTGTGTCATTGTAACATAATTTCATTTTGATGCAAATCCAAATGATAAATAAAGTCTAAGTCTCTAAGAAACACTGTGTTCCGGGTGGAGTCTATTGCTTGGAACTAGAAATGACCTTAATAAGTCTTAACAGGTCTTAATTGTTGGCTATCTAACTAACATCATGATACTTGTACAGCTGGCAGCTGATCAGGATCCACATAAACAAACAAATAATGAATTAGCAGCAATCTGCCAACAAATAAGTGCAATAAAATAAACATGATTTCCCTGAAAACTTAAATAACTGCCGTTTGGACGACTTTGTAAAGACTTTACTGTTCAGTGGATTCTTACCGCCAATGTTTCTCCACACGTCGACTCAGAGCGATCTTCTCTCCGACCTCTGTGCACACCGGGTTGGTGAGGACGATCTTGGCCAGATCGGCCTTGACGGCGCTGACGCGTCCGCCCGTCGACAACGAGCCGATGTTCACCATCAGCACCTCGTTCTTAGACAGCTTCTGGACCTGCGGGGACACGAAGAGATAGAAGGAAGCCGTCACGACACGGTTGATCCTCGTCTCGCTGTGAATACCGGAGAACTGTGCGATGATATTGGACTACATTCCCCACAATGCCTCACCTTGGCAGCCTTCTTGTCTCCCTCTGTGCGGACTCCCAGCAGCCTCCTCAGCAGGAAGTAGGAGATCTCCAACTCGGTGAAGATCTCTGGCAGCGCTCCGACGGCGCCCAGCACCTGACCGACCATACGATCCGCCCGGCACAGCGTCGGGTCGATCTTGGTGCCCACACCTGAACGCAAACAGAGCCTTTTATTGTTTGTGCCACATGTCACACCTTAAACGGACTGACGGCACAGAGGAAACCTGGTTCCATCGTGTTCCTGTGTGGACGTACCGATGAGGCCTCCGGGCGCGGCGTACTGCAGGTCGTTGTGCTCGGCAAACAGAGACACGATCTTGGAGAAGATGGGTTTGCACATGAGCTTTCCCTCCTGGTCTTTGGACACGATGCCTGGCCGCACCTCGATCTCTTGACCCACCTGGAGGTCGCACAGAGAGGGGGAGGAGGAGGAGGAGGAGGAGAAGGAGAAGGAGGAGGAGGAGGAGGAGGAGGAGGAGAGGTTAGAGAAGCACACAGCCTGACTGAATAAAGTCTGTGTTTATAAGTTTATAATCATTTAGTCACATAGATACACGTGTTTGTATCTGCACTAATTCTGAGTGAAACACTGTTCTCCTCACACAAACAGGTGAACTACTTTATTAAATGATTAAGTCAGGCAGCAGGTACATAAACATTAATCTCAAACAAACACCAGAGATTCTTTGTACCAGATTTATACACAAGATACTTTCTGTTTGTAGAAGAGGACCTGCTCTCTCTGTAGATAACAGCTCAGTCTGAGGGAATGAAAACAACTGGTGATCGTACACTAATGAAAACATACCTTTAAATATCATATTCCATTTCTTCTAACAGAACCTCCTAAATGTTAAAGCAGGCTTATTGTCAGCTACAGCTCGCTGAGCCCAGCTGTCGATCACTAGCTCCGGACTCTGTAAGGTTTCTTTACTATACGAGTCACTGTCAGGATTCACTCCCACTCAAGATAAATGAGGACAGCAGACACACAACCTAACACGTCTCGGTGAAAAGCCTCTAGAAAAGCTGCGTTTACACCTTCAACAGCCAAAAATAATCAAAAATAACACAATTTATTATGTAAAACAATATTTTCCCCCCAAATTCTGATTTCATTTTGACTCAGACGACACGTGCAACTTCTAAACCAGAGGAACTGTGTTTGAGCAGCTGTGAATAAGTTTTGTCTGCTGAAGTAAAAAGACGAACTCTCACCTTGAGCACGCCCTTCAGGATACTTCCTCCGGCCACACCTCCTTTCAAGTCATCAACTTCACAGCCGGGTTTGTTCACGTCAAAAGATCTGATGACTGAAACACAAAAAGGCGTTCACAGTTTAATTTAGTACAATTAAACTGTACTGACAGAAAACACAGAGGTTAGTGAGTGTGTGTGGTTCGTACCGATGAGTCTGGGCTCGGAGATGAAGTCTCTGATGGGCACTGGGATCTTTTTGACGATGTACTCACAAACCACCTCGATGTTGTACTTCAGCTGTGCCGAGATGGGAATGATGGGAGCGCCCTCGGCCACTGTGCCTGCGGGAGAAACAGGACACGCAACGTCCGGTCAGCGCTGGGGAAAGCGTTTGTCGCTGAGGATTGTTTGTAGTGAGATAAAGAGGAGTAGAGTAGTGTCACGTCTCACCCTGTACGAAGGCGAGAATCTGCTCGTACTGCTCTTTGGCCTGGCTCTCCTTCACCAGGTCGATCTTGTTCTGCAGGATGAGGATGTGCTTCAGCTTCATGATCTCGATGGCAGCCAGGTGCTCGGACGTCTGGGGCTGAGGACACGACTCGTTACCCGCTGGAGGACAGAGGCGAGAACGAACAATCAGATTGACGTCTGGGAGTAAACGACACACACGTTTGATGAATCAGAGTGTGTGTTGCTGGTGGGAGTGAAGGAGACTCACCGATGAGCAGGAGGGCTGCATCCATCACGGCGGCTCCGTTCAACATGGTTGCCATCAAGATGTCGTGACCGGGACAGTCGACGAATGACACGTGTCTGAGAGAAAGAGAACAAACGGTCATTTCTTTAACAAAAGCACCGTAATCTGTGTGTTTGGGACATTATCTCTCCCCGTTCAGTCTTACCTGACCAGTTTGAAGTTGCCCTTGGTGCCGGCGATGTCTGAGGGGAACTCATCCGGAGTGCTGCTGCCACACGACCTGTAGCACTCTGGCCTGGGACAGCTGGGGTCGTCCAGCTTATAGACCTTTAAAAAGAGTTTAATTTTAATGGATTCCAGCTTATAAAAAGGGAAATAAAACCAGTCCCTCCAGAAAAATGCGGCGTTTTTTTGTGTTTGTTGCGGGCAAAAATCCTTGATTATGCGGCACGTTTTCTTAAAAAATGCGATGGAATATCGGGAACTAACTACCTTAATGTAGAGAGTCATTTCTTATTACTTCCTATGATAAACATACCTACATCACAGAAAGTTGAGGAATATTTAAGTTCTCTCTTGTTTTTTATTTCAAGAACCTTAATTAAACACATGGGCTTCAAACTTACAAAACACTGATGAGTCAAACAAGTTCTGTAGCTTTACAAAAGGATATTGCTACCAACTTCTGTAAAAATGAAATAAATAAAAATATTACAAAATAAAATGTGTGCTTCCTGTTTTACAGAGGTAGCTATAACAAACACAACATCTTCTGTTTTAAACACGCTGCTTCCAATCTCTGACTGTAATCGTAAACTACATAGGCCTACTACTAAATATACTTACAACTGTAAGGTTTGAAAACTAGCCTTGATTTAACCCACTGGTAACAAAAAAGTGCAATCTTAACAACTGTAACGTTGCCATAACTCCTTGAAGAAACTACAACAGTCCACCTGTGACTTGCGGCTTCATCATCGCTTATCGCGGGGTTTGCTGCTTTTCGTGATTGTTCACGTCACATAATTACCGTCACTTCGTAACGTTTCCCATTGGCAACAGGGGCAAAATGGCTGCTCTTGTGTGAAGTTAAACGCAACATTTTCCACTTTCTGCTCAGATTATGTGACTGTGTTTGCAACGAAAACGCAGGGATATGAAATCATTTGCAAGGCCCCGCAGTATATTGCGCGGAAATTGGCAATTTATGCGGCGAAAGTGCGGCGTATGTGAAAGTGAAATATGCGGACTTTGGCTGATTATGCGTTGAATTATGTGATCGCATAATCGCGTTTCTCTGGAGGGACTGTAAAGTATCCCCAGAGCCACTTACCTTAGCGTTGGCATATCCTAGTTTGATGGTGATGTTCCTCTCCAGCTCGTTCTTAAACCTGACGGTGTGAACACCAGAGATGGCCTTCACTACTGTGGACTTTCCGTGGGCCACATGACCGATGGTGCCTGGAAGAGAAGCAGACAGACGTTAAAACTTCCTCGTCTGTAACGTCCGACGCGCAGCGAGATCGACGTCTGGAAAGAGTCCCGTACCGATGTTGATGGTGGCCTGTCTGCTGATGATCTCTGGAGAGAGAGGCGTCAAGGTGGACACATCCTGCGGAGAGAGAGCGACTCACATTAGACTCACCACACACTGAGAACAACACAGGCGTTCACTGCAGGCCGCGCTGTGCCCCCCCCCCCTTTAATCCTCCATGTGAATAGAAACAAAAAGGACACGGACAGACAAACACCTCATTCTGACTCTGCAAACATGTAACAGAGAAACCAGCGTCAGTATATCAGGCTAACTTATTAATTTACACATCGGACAAAGATTCTGACTATTGTTGCTTCTTTCAGTATCACAGTAATGAAACTCGCTGCCAGTTATATTTATTTTAATCATAAAACTGGTAATTGTGCCTCTTCACCCCAAAATTTAGACTTAAAATCCAGTTTTGTTAGTTAAAATCAAAGTACAGTGAATGTTTCCGGCTGCGTTTCCATCTTTAAAGTTAGTTTATTACAATAATAATGGATTTAGTATGAGAGCGCCAACAAAAGTAATGCAACTAATTATATTTTAGGGGGTTAAATGTAATATTATGACTTACTAGTTACTGCACAACACTGCTCAGTGCTAACAGATTTTAAGCTTTACAGTTCAGAAAAAAATGCACTCGTTTTTTAAATAATGATGAAACTTTGCTTTATCTTTTGTCTACTATAATTTACTTTGTCTACTGATTTAAAATAAAACACAAAAAGGTCTTTATGAACATCGTATCAACACCTTCAACCAATATCTACATTTCCTTAACTCATTGAAGGTATCGACTGTTTATATAAAACAGATAAAAGGCAGAAAAACCAGGGATCATCTGATTTTTCTTCCCCGCTACGAACCCCATCAACATTTTAACAGATTTTAATTAAACTTCACAAATAATTCAAACCTTCAAACGAAACCGGGGTAAAGACACATTAGGGAGATACAACGAAGCCTGACGACTAATTCGGCGCCATAAAAACACATTAAACCACCCAAACATTTGCCTCAATCTTGACATTTTGTTAGGAAACAGAGTCTTTGTGCAGCGGGTGTCTCGCCCGTCCGCCCCGCCGGGCCTGCAGTCATGTGCCGGGTAGCGGCGGCGCAGCACCGGCGGCCGTTGACGGTGACGCTTTTCCCTCCTTTTGTGGAACCGTTTCGGACACAAGACCTCCCGACAGCCTCCATCACTAACCTATAAAGCTGTACACTGTGTTAAACCGCCGCTTACCAGAGAACTGAGGTCTTGTCTCGCCAGATGAGGCTGACCAAGCGTTGTACCAGACTCGTCGCCCGCCATCTTGAATGAGAAAGGAACGAAGGGAGAGGTGGCTGAGGCGAATGCCTGCTCCACCGATTAAAACCGTTGGTTTATATTTTAGAGCGATCGGCAGTTAAATAAAATAAAAAAAAATCTGCTTTGCTTTTTGTAGTGTTAGTAGAAAAGATAACACGTTTAAAACAGTATGTTGGTTAAATATTTATTAATCGCGGACACAGTTGATAAAAGACGTAGTTTGTAACTCTTGTGATTCAGCCTCGGGGTCCTTTCTCAACGGCTGATGCAATTTATTTCTCCCTGTAAAGTTTATTTTAATATAACGACCACAAGCTGCTGCTGTTTGTATAAAGTTAATAACTGTTTATAACCGAACGGGGAGCGGGTTTTCATTCTCTTTCTCCTTCTCCGTAAAGGAAATACATATTATTATCCATGTGTCAGGTCCGTCGTGGTTTGGTGACGCGATCATCGGGGTTTTTTGTAGTCCTTTAAGTGTTTTTGTAGTTCTGTAATG